CTGTCAGAACTGCACCAAACCTGAACCTGGACCACTCCCTGGTTTGGCTGGAATATTTATACCTCTTATTTATGGGATAGTGTGTGCTGTTGGCCTGCTGGGAAACACTCTAGTCATCCATGTTATTGTCAACTACACCAAGAATGAGTCAGTCACCAACATCTACATCCTTAACTTAGCCATTGCAGACGAGCTCTTCATGCTGGGTCTGCCCTTCCTAGCAGCACAGAACGCTCTGCTCTCCTGGCCCTTTGGCTCCCTAATGTGCCGTGTGGTTATGACAGTGGATGCCATCAACCAGTTTACCAGCATCTTCTGCCTGACTGTGATGTCAGTGGACCGGTACCTGGCCGTAGTGCATCCCATCCGCTCCTCCTGGTGGCGACGCCCCCATGTAGCCAAGGCAATCAGCGCCACAGTTTGGGGAGGGTCCTTTGTGGTGGTACTGCCAGTAGTGGTGTTTGCAGATGTGCTAAAGGATGATGGGAACTGCAGCATCGTGTGGCCTGAGCCAACAGAAGTGTGGAAGACGTCGTTCATAGTTTACACGTGCACCGTGGGCTTCTTCTGCCCCCTGCTGGTCATCTGTTTGTGCTATCTGCTGATCGTCATCAAGGTACAGCATCATGTGTGTTCATTTGTTAATACAGAGTTGTGAAGATTCTGGTTCTGGAAAAGATTTTCTCAATTCTCTATTCGCATTTCAGTTTTTTCTTTAAATGTTACTTCACATAAAAATGTGGGACCCTCCTGTATAAAATAATGATAGTATTGATGTTGACCAGCACTTGTATTTATTTTAACTTTGATTTGACAAAACAGCGCCAAGAGCCTTTGCTATGGAGAAGAGTTGAGGTTTATCTATAAAGAAATCCTTCCAAACATACGTAGCTGCAATATAAAGAAGCCATTTAATGCAATAACTGTTTTTGTCACAAACTGTACAAATGCACTGGTATGATAACATCCACTAAGAGTGGATTGTTCGCCATTGATGATGAAGTGCATTTCCAGGAAGAATGTTGTGCCTGGAGGCTCGGCAGTCTTGGTGTTAATCAGGACATTTTAGAAGTGGTGTACAAAACTCCTGTTCAGTGTTTTAACTTCTCACATCCAACTGTACATTTTGTATATTTTTATTGGTTAAATTTTATTAACCAAGGTGGAGAATAAAGAATTACTATATTCTATTCTAAAATCTCAGATGCTGCTGATAAAATGGTAAGATTGCATTTTTTTATTTGGTTGTTCTGACCTTTCACTAGAAAGATTCATCTTTAAATGAGGTAGATAAAAGTTCTTAATCTTCTCTTTTAAAGGTGAGAAATGTTGGAAAACGGGCGCAGGCTACATCCTCTCGGCGCAGGAAGTCGGAGCGTAAAATCACCAGGATGGTAGTTGTAGTTGTGGCTGTGTTCGTCTTCTGCTGGCTACCGTTCTATGTTCTGAACATCGTCAACCTCCTAGTGATCCTGCCTGGGGACTTCAGGGGTTTCTACTTTTTTGTTGTTGTGCTCTCATATGCAAACAGCTGTGCTAACCCCATACTGTATGGATTTCTGTCTGACAACTTCAAGAGAGGCTTCAGAAAGGCCCTGTGCCGCACCTCACGCAGGGTGAAGAACAATGACAGGGCTGGCACCGAGGTTCAGCGACCCACGGAGGAATGGGGCGGCATTGTATACCAAACGCAAAAAAGCGAAGGCGCCACCAGTATGCATAAAGAAAACTGTGGTGAAAAAGAAGAGGAGGAGGAAATCAATGGAATAGAAGAGTCCATACAGATGAGTGAAATCTGCAAAATGCCACAAAATGGAAACCACTGTGGAGTAACAGAGTGCTCCAGAACACAGGTCACACAGAGGGGTAAGCCTGAGCTGGAGCACTCTGGTCAGGGGGCCAAACACGGACATCGCACTGGAAAAGGCCCTGGCTTTGATCCAGCTGATGCAGTGCTCACTATGACTGGTAACAGCAGGTCACCACCTGAAGAACTCCTGGACAAGAACTGTGTACTTGAAATCAGCTATCTTTAACAAATGGGAATGTTTTCATTGGATTTTGTACAGGCTCAGCGCTGGATCATGTGGAGTGACTATGTAGCAATTCAAATATTTGAAGTTGGGGTCTCTATAACACCAATTTGCATTATGTAATAGACTGCCGCTAGCAATGATGTTTTTGCAGAGGTGTAAAAATAATGTAATTTTGACAAATAATAAAAGACGACATGTTGGATTGGAGCCTAAAAGAAATGTGAAAAGGAGGAAGAACAAATATATAGAGCAAAATGTTTTACAAAGGACAGAGTGCAGTTACTGTTGCCAATAGTCGACGGCATGAAGAAACAAGACAGTTTGATTTTTTTTTTTTTTTGATGTTTTGTCATTCTTGGTCTTGACAGTGATGCTATTTTGCCAACTGTTTTACACACAGAAAGCCAAAGACTGATGTAATCCTGTACATTTGGATGGTGGGGGCTTCAGTGACTTTGCTAACTACATCAAACACCATCGTTAATTTGTTTATTGTCGTCACGTTGAAGACGACTACTGTACCACTACATTTTGAATATCAGGAACACTTTGTACTGAAATGGATAATGCACTGTATGAATCATAACACACCTGATGACCCACTGTGACATGAAAAATATGTTTAATTTCTACTTTTACTGCTTTGGCTTTTGAGAACAGCCCACAAAGGATAATTGTGCTGTTTTCACAAACACATCTCAGCTCTGTAGCTTAGTGCTTTTGTCAAGCTCTGTGTAACAGCATCCATACTTGGCTACGACATAGATTCAATTTTTTTTATACGCTCAAGACGACAGAAAATATGCATCTCTGGAGCACAACAACTTTTAAAGGTTGGCAACCTTATACATCCAACAATGAGTCTCTGCTTTATGCTCATAGTTATACACCATCAATACAGGAAATGTGAGGAAACTGGATTGGTTATGATGGTTGAAATAGTAGTGCTGTGTTCTTTTTAGTGAAGTCTGTATTTGTCTCATGTCCATACAGTAGTTTTAGGTCAACAGACCAACATACCTTCATTGTTTTGTCAGTTTTTTGTCTGTGATCACAAAAAGTACAGTGTTTGCATGAAGATGTTATATTATCATTCATGTTGTGAGAGCTTTGGTGAGGTATGAAGTGATTGTGTTGTGAGAGGGCTAAATAAATTCTTATAAATCACACCATATGTAAATATCTTGTCCTTTAGTAAAACTGGGGGTTGTGTGCTATCACGCCACCTGAACCAGTGCACATGTAGAGTGTGTAGTACGTACTGAAATATGTACATGGCATATATGCAACTGTAATATTTATCATTATGACCTCTTGTTCACCAACAAATACTTAAAACCAATTAAAAATAATCCTCCACTTTTTGCTAAAGAAATGAGAGCAATGTCTGTTCTCATGAAATACTTTAGTGGAAGGTTCAAACAAGTCAAAGCTGAACAGTTTATTCTGCACCTACTGTAGTTAATTTTGAAAATGAGAAACCAAGACTGCCCTCTAGTGGTAAACACACTAGAAGAACAAATACACAAGCCTCAACTTGTTGACGGAAAAGCAAAATAAGAAATATTTAAGAAAATATTAATTGTATTCTTTTCAAAACACCAAATGTTATACTTAAACTAAATCTCCTGATTGGCACTTTGTATTGCCTTGGTGTTATAGTTAACAATAACAACAATGTACATTTGGAAGGTAATGTGTATTTGAAAAGAGTGACAGTTCACATGATCTCAGATTCATTTTTAAACCCATTAATTCTTCCACTCCTCCATCAGTCCACCCTTACTCAGGCACAACTTCTCCTATCCACTTGAGGTAAGGTGGGTTGCCCTGGTCAATAGGCAGGCTGATGACCTCGACCACCTCATAAGGATGGTTAGAGCTGCAGAGGACAATGAGCAGTTATGGGTCAAGTGAATGCACAGACAAGCACCGAGTTCACACGAACAATGTGAGTCACGGCAGGTAAGGGAGCAAATGTCCAACATAGAGAGTTAGATTGAACAAACTTACCGGACATACTCAGCAAGAGCAGGCACCTTGGAACTTCTTGTTTTAATCATCTAAACAGAGAGAGAGACACTAGGTCAGCTCGACTGACTCCATCAGCCACATTATATTCTCAGTCAGTTCAAAACAGGTGTAAATTAATCTAGTGTGGCCACATCACAGCTGAGAATGTGCTTTAGCACTGACTGTTTTACACTCTTCTGTATAGTCTTGTCCTTTTTTGCTACAAGAATTTGTAAAAGTAGCTTTTCTATAGTCTTATTTTTTTAGGTTCAGATCATTGGTAGGGAAGAGCTCAAACATTCAGACTTTATCTTATTCTTTGATTATTTTCTAGTACTTTATCATTTATAAAACTCTTCAGTTATACAGGTATGCAAATTAAATATACAGTTAAAACAGAAAGTTAAACCCAAACCTTCCTATTCAAAATATTCCAGAGGATGTAATAAGGTTACTGTTAAAAATCTGTTTCAATAAGTAGTATTAAATTGCTAATTATATTGATAAAAACCCAATCATACTCATATTTAAGTTCTAGTTGTAGCAGTAAATCTATCTATAGCGGTCAGTGATGGTTACAGGTGCAGCTGTAAAAATAATAGTATCTAAAGTAATAGTAGCAGTGATGGTAAGTTACCCTGAGCTGTAGAAATAAGATTTAGCTGCAGAGTAGAGTTTTACACAGCTTACCATATGACAAGGCTTTATTAGTACTCACCAGCAGCACTTCATTATCCTCCTCAATCTTCCCCTGCCATTCATATCTGAAGGAAAAAGAGGATTATGGAGTCATACTCATTTGTTTATAACATAGCAAGATTTAAAAGGGCACAGTCATTCAAGTGCTGCTGCTGAATCGCTTCATTCATGTTCTGCCTGAGAGCAAAAACACCCTGTAGCTACTGAAAACAGAGAGCTCAGTCTAGCACGACACAGAAAAGCACATGTCTCAGAACTTACATAGATTTTATTGCTGGGACAATGTTGACACAAGCAGCTAGCTTCCTTTCCACAATACCCCTGTGAGGCAGAAGAAAAGAAGGAATCAGCCTCAAATAAATACAAATCAATCTTGTTGACTGAATGGCAGAAATGAAAATTAAGTTTGTCCTGTAGGCTGAGCATATGAGCTAAATTTATTTCCAACTGAACAGGACATTCCATCCTCATTATGTGCAGCCGGTAACAGAGGAGAGACGTCAAGATTGTAGATAATTAGACCTTTTACTTTAACTTTCATTCTGTAATGATGATAAGATATAAAACAGAATTAGATTGTATCACCTGGCCAGGTCTTTAGCCACTGCGTCATTAGGACAGGTGACGAAAGCGGCAGAATGGGTGCCTGAAATGTACGTCTCAGATGCCATAGAAAATGCCCTCAGACCAACAGTCCTCAGCAGCTGGAACATAAACACACTCACAAGCACTGTCTGAGAAGAGAAGAGGATGAAACCCAGTCAACAACAGAACAGCTTGTGTCTAGCACACACAGGAGCAAGACATGTTCAAAACACAATCTCATGATAGTTCCATGAATGTGGCGTGTTAGAGGCACCTGCATGCTCTGCACACTCACCAAAATCAAAGCCTTTAAGGATCTACCTTGTAGTGTCTCTGCACTGGGCAGCCAAATGCACATTGCCTAAATGAGTCAAACATATCAATTAGTCCACAAACACTGCTGCACATTATTTTGCACTCAAAGCTCAGTCAGTAATGCATAATTAAATGATTTGACATTACCCTCCTACATACGTCCTACATACGTCTTTATAAACAGTTTAGTTGTTGTCTGCAGATTTAGGAAGAGCGCCAGTGTTGCTATGCAACCGTGGTCTACTTCCTGTATGTGGTTTCCTGTCTACTCTTACAGCCTTACACGTCTCCTACACTCTTTACTGCAAATGAAATGGTTAACACAAAAGTAGATTATAAGGTATATGATACTATTATAATGCATATGATCCTAAAATAAACTTGTAGATATATTTGCTAATGCAGATTATAATGTCAATCCTAGAATTTCATATGTTGATAAATGTTGATAATCTGAAGCCAAGACAATCAGACCTTACACCCACACACTATTCTCGTGCAGACAGTTTAGTCATCTCAGTATGTATCTGCACGACTTCCTGTTGTTCTGAGTCTCTCTGCACAAAGCATTTCATGGGCATAGGTCAAGTCTTTCCAAAGGTCAAACAGATTAAACAATTATTTGAACAGTTTTGCAAATACATAACATAGCACTGTATCATTTTATCAAGAATTTCTTTCTACATCACCTATCCATCTATCCTTTCAGATTTTTGGGAGATGGATGCACATCATAAGTTGCATTTTATTTAATAAAAATTTAGTAATTTAGTAAAAATGTACAACTTGTACAATACATAACACCACCTTATCATGATTTGAGACATTTAGTGTCTTCATCCAATGTTATGCTTTAATTATGCATAAAATGTCATGTTACTGTATATGCTGCTCATAGCTTTATTTATTTTAATTTGGTACTTTATGTTCCTGAATAGAGAACCATGCAAGTTTTGGGCACTAAAGCAAAATGATGACGCTTTAAAAATAATCAACAGTTTTTTGAATTTATAGATTAACTTCATACAAACTGCAGTAAATTGGAAAATCAAAACCACATTAATATGCTGTGTGAATATTCTTTGACTTTACAAACTGCACAACAGCAGTGTAATCAATGTGTCGGTCTTCTTCTCTCACTTACATTACCTTTTCAAAAAAATAAAACAAGCTGCACAAATCATGCAGACATCTCCACATTACCTTTTCAAAAAAATAAAACAAGCTGCACAAATCATGCAGACATCTCTACATTACCTTTTCAAAAAAATAAAACAAGCTGCACAAATCATGCAGACATCTCCTCAACCTATTATGTTGCAGGCGAACCATGTTTAGCTTAGTTGCATAGCTGGGCGCTAGCAGCAACAACGTCAGTCGCAAGCAGAAGCACCGAGAACTTAAATAAAACACAACACAGCAAGACAGACTGATATAAAAAAAAGTAAGAGAACCTGGTTAAAACGAACCGGAAAGACACATTTCAGTAACTTACCTTCTGACCACTGCAGTCCTAGTGCTACCTAGCATATGAGGCACAAGGCACACTGCCGCAAAGTGTCACGGCCATATGTGTGTAAAACTGTCGTAAAAACACTTTGGGTTCTTCTTCTTCTTCCAGACATTACAGCGGCGTACTGCCCATTGGGACTCTTTAAAAAGTGTCAGTTAAAAGAAATGTGTTCGTAAAGAATAATGTGTTTTCTAAGTAGATACACATTTCGCCGTTGTCAGGCTCTTGTAGAAATCGAAGTCCTCCGTTGTTTACCGAGCCGAGCGGACATTTTCTTCTTTTTATTCTTTTTTTAAGTAGTGTTAAAGGTTTACGGCGCATTGAGTTTACCAAAGAAAAAAAAGACAACAAAGACTTAATATAACCTAACCATGTCCTGTACGGAGAAATATCATCAAAATTGACTTTACTTTATCCGTGCATTGGTGGTTCAGTGGTAGAATTCTCGCCTGCCACGCGGGAGGCCCGGGTTCGATTCCCGGCCAATGCATCTCATTTTTAAAGTCGACCACAGAAGCAGTGGTACCGTAATAGTTATTCAGCACTCAAAGCGTCTAATGCACCTAACTCAAAGCATCACTCAGTGTTGCTCTGCCTTCATATCTTGATCTAGAGGCAAATTATGACGTCATCCTGATCTACTAAAAAGATTGAATTTATTTCAAGTGCTTCTTGAGGAAAACCTTCATGCATGAAGTGTCTGTGAGCAAAGACATCCTTGTACCTACATAGTCTACCGAAAACACGGATGACACTTAACAGGTCAAAATGTATGCAGATTTAATTGTTGGGACAATGTTAACACAAGCAGTTAACTTCCTTTCCATATTTTTGAAAAGTTTACAGGCCCATATACAGTCAATGACTGGGCCAAGGAACGGACAAGCACAGTTTCTAAGTTGATTTACGTTTCACCATTGACAGACTCCTGTAAAATTCAAAATCATCTGTTGTTTGACTTGGTTGTTTCTTCTGCTCTATCTCTTTTGTATTTTAGCTGATGTTTTGTTGAGGTGACTGTAGGAAGAACCTCCACCACCAGTAACCGATTTCATATTGATTCTTGAGGCTAAGTTTCACTTTTTATTTAACTAGGCGGCTGCTAATTATGGGGCAAAAAACATGATTGTAATACAGTAATCGGCACATAGAGAGCACTTTAGGACTACACAAAGCAGTCCTGTATTGGCAGTTCACCTATTCATTTAAACTTTAGATAGTTCAACTGTTTTATGGGAAAGTGGCTGAAAACCCATATAAATTGATGCATATAATTTTGGTATTCTCTGGAATAATGGTAATGTAGAATTCAAAGCAGTCTAAAACAGATGCAAGGAATTATGTGCACGTTACTATATGTGCACACATAGCACACTGGTATTCCACAGTTGTCGTCAAACTTTATTAGTTATTAAACGTTCAGTGGCAGTGCACAGCCATGTGATGACAGCTTTTGTACAGCAGGCAAAACAAGAGGCTTTACGATCAGTTATGTGTAACACGCACATACAATCAATCAGTTCATGTCACCAGGGTACCAGCCATGTCTGTGATCATCTGTGCACACAAATGATGTCTGCCCTATACGTGTGTACATGTGCCTGTGCATGTATGTCCTGTGTGTGTGATATTTCCATGCACAAGACAGAAAATCACTGTTTAATAACATCCTCCTCTCTTTGTCCTGAGACAAATGAGACAAGCATGTCACACATGCTAATATGCACACAAACATACACACACTTGACACTTGCACTCAGAGCAAGATAGATTGGCCTGCAGCTGATGTGGGTGCTCTCCTAGTTTTGCATGAACACACACAAGGATGCAGTGAGATGTATTAGCAGAGCTTGTCAAGCTTTTGCAAGAGCAATGAGGAGCAACAGAAGAAGAAGGGATATGTTGGTGGTGGTAGGAGGAGGGTTCCCATGGAAACTGTACAGTCAGCACATCTGTACATGTTATGCACTGTCCTCTCTCATCGGCATCTCGCAGCCTCTCCACAGCACAGCTGGACATGACGGTGTGCGCTCACATGTATGAAAATATTCACAATTGCTTACCCTGAAACCATTGCCATGGTAACCATAAAGCCTAAACCCATGGGATGTTATCTTGGAATATGAATCAATGCATTATGTAGGCTACAATATGTGTGTGTTTGTGCGTATGTGACCAGACATGCACACAAGTTGCAACTGGCACTGTGCGACACTCTTGCCTTTATCTCCAAATTTAACCCTCCTTTTTTCTAATTTCTTTTCATTCTCTCTCTCTTTCCTCCATCTTTCTCCTTTTCTCCCTCTGTTTCTTGCTCCCTCTCCCTCCGAGCATGAGCAGAATCAATATGTTTTCAATTTGCAGCAGAGCTTTCCTCCTCTGCATTCTAATCAGGCTACACTGATCCTTTAACTTCCAGACATAAAGCGAGACAGAAGAGGAGAAACAAGGTGGGTAAAGGAGGACCTGCCAACTTCATGTCAACATGACATGTCAACTTCAGGATCAGTAAAGTTCTTAACAACTTTTTTTTTTTGCCGCTTTACTACAGCCTGTATGATGAGGATTCCTCCAGGTGTCCCGAGGCTAACATCAGTAATATAATAGCTGTAATCTCTCATTGGAGGTTCTTTTCATCAGGCTTAAAAGCAAAACATGTTCATGGAGTTTATACATATTCCAAGATAAAGCAGTGTGTACTGCAAAACCTATTAGAATTTATGCCCTAAATTATTTTAAGTAATTAGCCATTTTTCAGTACTCAAAAACCTGCACTTCTCTTTTCCAAGTGTGGCAGCACGAGTACTAACTGTTTCTCACTTATTCATAATATTCACCCACTGTCCCCTCTCATTTCTTCCTTTCAGCTGAATATAAATTGTGACTATCAGGATGAAGGCGGCACATGGTGCCGCTGCAGTGGACAGCCCGCGCTCGAAGACCCTTTGTATCCTTCAGAATAGTTCTGTCAGTCAAATCCTCTTGATATGATACAATAGCTGTGTCACCTTCATTTTGAGGTACTATGCCTCATTATGTTGTCTGAGGACTGTCTTCAATTGTAATGTCTTCCATTAATCAACTTGTCTGACAGTATCCACAGTGACAAAAGGAGTTTCTGAAATAAAGTTGTCAACTGTCTCTGTTGTACAGTGTTCCCTGTCCATGACTTTAGCTGACATGAGGCCTCCACAGTTCCTTTCCATTTAAGCACTACTATATTATTAAAGGCCAAGACAGACATATTGGTTCTTCCAGACAGATTTGATTTTCTCAGTTGCAGTTACAACTCCCATATGACATTAACTCAGCTTCAGTCTGCTATGCTAGTAATGTTTAACATACGATGGCCTTAGGCATATGGGAAATGGTGTTAAAAATGATAAAACTAGACCTTTTTCCTTTTGCTTCTCAAGACAATTGCAATGAATCACCAAGAAACTGCTGGACAAGGTTGCAGGGCTGGATAATTTGCATTCTTAACAAAGGTCAGTGTGAATTTGTATTGGGAGTTATTACTTCTGGATCATAAGCCATAAGTTTTGATTTCTCCTTGGCTCTCTATAAACACACAGCGACTATCTGGATAAGCCAAAGTGCTAGCAAAGCTGCTAGTGTCTTTTAATAACTGTAATAGAGAGTTCTTAATGTTACAGTAGAGCATTACAAAAATAAAGGGATAATGCCAAACAAAACATTTTTTTCCGTTTATCTGCATTTGTGATATGGTAAAACCATCCACTGTTTATTCGTGTATTTCTATGTGACATTAAGGTGTTTAAATTGGTGGGTGTATTACAACTAAACTGCTTCTAATTTGACAGTTCCTTATATGTATGTTCAGTCTTTATCGGCTCCTGTTGCTACATGATGCTGTAATGAACATACTTCTCCACAGGGATCAGTCATTATCATGTGTCTTCTTATGCTCATAAGGCAAATAAAGTCATCCTGCACCATTAAGACATATTACATCTGAATCACTTTTAATAATAAAGCAATCTGGTTTTCTCATTATCCTTGTGGGGAATAATTTCAATAGTACAGTCCAGAAACCGCAACAGCACAAGAGGACCGCATCAGCTACAGATCAGTGAGCCTAGAGCTGGTCAGGATCTAATGGACACTAGCAGGGTGAATGCTTGCAGACATGGAAGCCTGAGCCCAAGTCCTGAATGGGAGAGTATTCATATGGAAGCTCAGTATACAAGTTAAAAGATATTTATTCATTATTTGGCCACAAAGGGGGGGTGTTCAGGCCACACTGTCATAAATCTTCAGAGCCCTACCATTTTCCAGACCTAACCTATCCTTAACACAAAGCATCCCTGATTCCTGTCCTCACCCAAGCAAAGAGCAGATATGTGGCTTGACACAGAGGATCTGTTACAACCCGCTCAGTATACAAGTTAAATGATATTTATTCATTATTTGGCCACAAAGGGGGGGTGTTCAGGCCACACTGTCATAAATCTTCAGAGCCCTACCATTTTCCAGACCTAACCTATCCTTAACACAAAGCATCCCTGATTCCTGTCCTCACCCAAGCAAAGAGCAGTTATGTGTCTTGACACAGAGGATCTGTTACAACCTTCAAGAAGTCTGGGCAATGTGGGTAATAACCTAATTTCAAAGAAATATCTTAAGCATAAAATTTGTCAAAACAGGCATCAACAAAAAGCAAACCAATTTTTAAAAATGGCCCCAAACATAAAAATACATAAAGTAGGAAACAAGCTACAAACAAAAAGAAGGTCTGAATAAACTAAAGAGGGAAGCCACTCCAGCCAGCCACGGCTTGGGCCATCAAACTGGATCACTTCGCCAAACCTAAAGCATAGCAGAAACAAAACCGTATAAAAGAAATACCTAACCCATTATGCCAAAAACAAAACCATAAATAACAAAGTGGCACATTTCTCAGCTATTGCTGAGGTTTCAGCTGCAAACCAAGGTTTCAGAACAAACCAAAGCCAAGTCCCACCCCTTTATATGCAGCTGTCCATCACGGGCTGAATCAGGTACACCTGAGAGCAGAGCACACACCAGGTAGAAAGAGAAAAGCGAGGAGACAAAGAAAACAAACCTA